TCAGAGCAGTGGCACAGTCCCGTGGCATGGTGGCAGCCTGCTCCAGTAGTCTCTGAGCCCTCACAGGCGAGGCTGTCCCGATGGTGATGAGGCTCTCGTATTTTAAAGGAAGCATTGGCAAACCTATCACGTAGATGCTCATCTTCTCATCACTCTTAATGCCTTTTACTCTTAGAAAAGAACAACAACAACAACAAAACAAAAAAAAAAAAGATTTATGTTTATAAGCAAAAGCAGAAACAAGGACACCCACTGGAGGAGTGCCCTACAGAGCCTTGCAGGGTCTTCTCAGCCCTTGAAACATGGGTCGTTTCTGTACAGGAGCCCAGCTTCAGGGGGAAGGCTGGAAGGGGCAGAGGAGAGGGAGTGTGTGTCTGACACTGGCTGGGGGAGAACTGGGCCAGAGTCTTCCATTTTCTGGCTGATTTGGCAGGTAGGATGCTGGATGAACTGACTGTGGTAGCAGAAACAGCCCGCATTTCATGTGACAGCAAAAAGTCCAGTATAGCTTCATGTTTTGAAGACCATTGTGGACCTTTAGGTGTAATCCTTCACACTGGATGTCAAAGGGTCAGTGACCACCCTGAGCCCACACATACCCTGACACCACATCCCAGCGAGGCATGGAAATGGAGGCACCTCTCATGCTCTAGCCCAAAACAGTTCCCCAGGAACGTCTGAGGGCTGGAAATGTCTTTTGAGTTTCCTTACTTCCACCTTAAACGGTACAGTCTGAGAACTGATTTCTACTCCTCAGGTGCATAGTCTAAAAGAGCATTTTAGCACCTATCTTGTAGAGAGACAGGGCTGGTTTTGGAACTAGCCCTTAGTGTCAGACTTACAAAGCCATTTAGAGGATTAACTCCTATTGAGCATCTAGGCTTTAAAGGAAATAAGTTTTCTTTCACTTGCACTGAGGAGTACTCACAGAGGCAGGGTTTCAGCTACTGTAAATAAATACCATTGATTTGAAACTTCACATAGCTCAATAACATAGGTGGTTTAGAGGAGCATGATGCAGATAAGATTTAAAAATAAATTTTAAAAAAGTCAGATCACTGGTTCCCAGATATCTTTATGATTAAAAAAAAAATCACCACCACCTCTTAAACCCCCCCACCCCAGAAAAAAAACCACCCCAGAAAAACAACAAACAAACTAGAAATTAATCTGATAGTGAGATCAGTCCTCTGAAATCTTTTCTTTTTCTGAAGTAAGGTTTCTTATTTGGATCTCCCAGGAGTAAGCTAGCAACCACCTGTCATCAGACTAACAAATGCTGGTAGCACCTGTACTTTATCTGCCTGCTTTGTTGCCTTGGTCCTCTCATCCTGTCCCCTAGTCCTGGGATAAGATCTGGAAAGGAGGTAGGTGGTTAAGTTGCACAGCACAGTTAGAACAACCTATTTCTGAGTGTTCTTGAAAAAATTTAGGTGCCTAACAGAAAAGGTACCTGGGAATTTAGGCCAGGTGGAGGTCAGAAAGAGGGTTAAGTGCTGGACTACCCTGCCTAACATGGGGGTTTGGAGGAGTCCATCTTCTTGTGTTCCTTGGTGGGTCCAGCCCTTAAAGCAGGCTGTTTCCTCACAGAAACTTTGTTTTACCCCAAGACGAACAGCCAAGGGAGAGCAGAAGACAAGCAGAATGAGCTGTATAATGAACGCATTATAGAGTCAGAGAAGTCCTTCAAGCTAAAGGAACATATTTGAGATGAACAAAGAAAGTAACAGGAGATAAAGTAGGTTACTGTTCTTTCACCCTCTTTCATAGACTGTGAGTTTAGTATTCACCCTGTTGATCCAAACTCTGGTGACGGCCTCTCCTACATTCAGAAGTCTCAGCAAAGACTGATTACAAATATTTTTTTTCTCTGATTTCTTTTTTAAAAGACATGTGAGTGTACTCCCTTTAAAGACTTAGTAGTACTATTAATCACGGAATTTTCCTTTGAACACGGACTTCATCATCTAAATTTTTCACCGAGCATAAAAGATGAATGTTATTATTATGGAAAAGAAATCTGGTTTTACTTTTCTTAAAATCTCATAGATTCATTTTCCAGTTACACACAAGCTAGTTACCCAGTGATTCAAGACTCATGTTTTTTAATGAAAACTTGCTTTATTATATTTATTTCCTTTCAGTAAAGTTTGTATTGCCTTGAAACAACAACAACAACAACAACAATAAATCTTAGATAGTATGCTGAGCTGGTTGCTATCCATAGGTGTGTCATGTTCCTTGATTTTTTTTTTTTTTTTTTCTCTCTCTTAACTATTTGGGCAAGCGGTACAGCATGAAATAGCACAGTAATTGTTCAACATAAAATTTCCAAATTACAGTTGATGAAGTTCACTCAAAAGGAACTAAAAGTTCCCAAAAGAAGGTGGCAAATCTATGGATAATATTGAAAATAATCAGCAATAAACAATACTTTGTACTATTTTACACTGGAAAGTTTATTTACGTAATCCAAACTCTGTCACAGCAAACAGGCTCTTACTGGGTCCCATCCTGACAGACTCATAAAATATTTAAAGAGTTTTAATATTACATTTCAAATCACACTTTTGAAAGTTTCTCTTGTGTGTAGCTCACTAGTTTTTAAGGCAATGAGAATGCTGGTAAGTTTTGGGTTGTTTTCTTTTTGGATTTAATTTGTATCAGTCTCATGTTCAGCTGCTGTTCACTGATATTACCATGGTACAAAAATGAAGCTGTTGTTTTGGGTTTGTTTGAAAAAAATAATATATTGTTCTTATTATGCTATATGTGATGTGATTTTCCCTGTGGACTATCCTGGTAGAAGTTATATGTCTATGGAATTTGAATTAAAACAGATTAAACACTTGCAAAGTATTACAGATTTTTTTTCTTCCTCAAATCCCAAAAATAAGCAATTATTTTGAAAAGACAAGATAAAAGTACCAAGGGAGGCAAGAAATAAGGGAATTACCAGAAATAATCAAAACGATCTGGTACTCCAGGTACTTAACCTCAAACTCTCCCCCTTTTTTACCCTCAGTAAAGTAGGGATATATTTTAACTGTCTCTACAAGCAGTGAAACAATACCAACTTCTTGGCTTATGGATATTTCTGTATCAGGGTTCCAACTGAGAACTTCAGTGTAATCAAATTCATTACATTATTGTTTTGGCATTTTAATATAAATGGGGTCATCAAAGAAACGACCCGATACTATGGGGTTTTATTTGTAATGCTGTGCACAACTTAGAATTGTTTGCTATGACATTTGATAACTCAGGAAATAAGCCAACTTATTAATAGTACAGTTCTGTGTATCCTCATCAACTTCACATGCAAGCATTTATATATCCGAAAACCTTCACTAAGTGAAACAAACAACAAATATCCCTTGCAATGTGTATACGTCCTTGTTCAGGAGTACACAAAAACAAAATGAGATGTTTTGTAAGGGTGTATGACATTGTAAACAATTTAAGTCTTCAGTGCTAGGTTGAATGGCAATTTGGTTTAGGTTTTTAGATTTTTAGCTGAAGTATAGGATAACCACAACACTATTATTGCTCAAATAGTTCAGAGAAGCCTTGTGTCCACAATATTCTCAGAAGAACCTAGACTCCTATTTTCCTGTGCACGTGAAGAAAGCTTTCCATTGGAGAAGGCTACAGAAAATGTGCTTTTTACTGTCAGGCTGTTGACGCTCCTTTTTATCCAGCCAAGTGGAACCAGTAACTGATCTGTAGGCAGGCTCACAATGCCTCTCCCTCAACCCCTTTCAAAAAAAGCCCCAACATATTCAGCAACACCTTTACTAACGCTTCCAGAGAAAAGGGGAATCAAGCATAGGTGGGCCAGGCACACGGTTTGTAGTATGCAGACTTATATGATTATCAGCCGTCACGGTAACACCTTCATCTACTGGGATTTCGTCCTCAGTAATACAGCAGATTTGTAAAAGGCCAAAAGATGTGTAGATCCTAATTCTCAGGTCTGCCTTCTAGTTCTGTTTGTTTAAGGATTTTTTTTTTTTTTGTCTGTTTGTTCAATTTCTGTGTGGTTTCTTCTGTAGGTTTCAGCAGAATATATACATATGCACACATACAACTACATACGTATGTGTATTGTTTTGTAAATGTTCTGAATCACGCTTTTTTCTGCTTTGCATCATTTATTCATGTATCTTCCATGTTCTCATTTATTTTTTTGTGCAACTAAACCTTATAATAAATTATTATTAAATATAACCTGACAGTGACAGAGTCTTCATGTTTTATTTTCTCCTGGGCACGGGGTGAGGGGTTGGGGAGGTAAGGAGGGAGGGAGTAGAGCAGGGGCCACACTTCTATTCCATCCTCAGATAGAAAGCGCTGAAATAACTGTTGTGAGTGGCAAGAAGCCTGTAAAACCACCCAGCTGTCAGATAGCAAGCTTCTCTTCATACTTTTAAATCTAGGTTCAAGGATCCCTGATATATTTGTTTTTGTCGGCTGAATAGTACTGTTTGCCCAGCAGCAAAATAACACCTCCTGTGTGGAAAATCATGGATATTTATTATTCTATAGAGCTCTCAATTTGAGATGCAAAAATCATGGACGTAGACAACATTGAGCACATTTTCTTTCTCACCCTGTCACATACGCTTCTCACACACATAGCTTTCTCAGACCAAATTAACTTTATGTAAGCATATGCAGCTCCATTCTGCATGTCAGAGCTGTTCTAAAATTCTTACTTAAGAGTAGAACTACTGTGTAAAAATGTTTAAATTGCAGAAGTACAAATAATCTTTAATTTTACATATGAATCAAAAGATATGTTAATGCTGCAGACTGCAATACAACAGAGTCATACCAGGCTGGCTGTCCAGCCAAAGCCACCCGTGCTCGGCACAGCCAGTTTGACCTTCGTCATCTCACCGACGCAAATAAAAAAAGTCTAAGCTGCAAATATAAGGCCTGTGCTTCGGTTACTTCGTTCTTAAGAAGGAATCTAATGGTCTTTTGTCAGGTTTGTGTCAGATATTTTTCAAGTTGCTGTAAATCTCCTCTGTCTGCCCAAGTGATGATTCTTCTCTTTTTGCTGTGTTCCATGTGCCGTGAAAATTGTATCTTCCATAACTGTTAGCAGGCTAGAAGAACATTTTAAAAAAAAAGAAAAGAAAAGGTTGAAGGACTTTTCTCAAAACAGCTACAGCTTTGAAAAAGGAGAAAATTGATAAATTTTCCTCATATGCTGATTTATTATTGGGAAATATTTAACCATCAATTAAAATATTTTTTGTCATCTTGTTTTCTACAAATACATTTCAGGTTCAAGCCATATGAAAAAAGGAGTTGTACTTTGAATATGTTTCATAGCTGTCCCACATCAGCTGCCTGGTAAAACACCAGTGGAATACCCCCTTCCCCTCACATACACACTTGAGATGCAGAAATACTCTCCTGTGTCAATCTTAAAACATTAATTACTCTAAAGGTATCGATTATGCCAAGAATTAGTTATGGCGTTAAGACAACTTAAGGCGATCGTGTCTTGGTTGACTGGCATTGGAGCAAAGATGATTTCTGAAGAAAATGGTCAGTCCCTAGCATATGGTCACCCTAGGAAGAACTTCATTCTGGAACAAACAGTGACCCAAGAGTCAGAATGAGAGAAATGGGAATGGCAGGAAGTCAAAAGGCTTTATAAGGACATATCTACAGTGGAGGTCACTGTTGGATCATACAGAAGTGCCGTCTCAGGGGAGACAGGTGGAAATCTGAGTCTCACATCCACTGTGAGAATGGGGTCATTTCCCTAAGCGCAACATAACTTCATGCCCCGACTTAGGGTATGAAGAGACAAGGCAGAAGCAGTGAGATTGGCTCCTATCTTTCCACTTCTGAACTTCACGCCTTGAATAGGATTAAGAGGTGAAAAAAAGACTCAGAACTCCAAAATCTTTATAAAGTTTTACAAGTAGTGACTTGAGGAGAAAAGGTATTAACAATACACAAATGATATAAAAGCTAGCAAACCAAAAGAGCTAATCTGTTAACAATATGGAACACAGTTGGGTCTCTCAATGTAGCTTTAAAATGCTGAAAAATATTCATCAAAAAAGAGTGAATAGGGACAATCATACTTTAAAATATTCAAATTTTCCCATCTGTATATTTTAAGATTAGACTATAAGATTCAAGGGATAAAAAGAGTAGATACAGAAGAGAAAGATGTTAAGAAATATACAATACAAAATACGAGAAAACTCCAGTTCTCTAGCTGATCTTACCTGGGTCTGAGTAGAGTACAAATGGTTTGATAAGGCCTCTGTGATCCCCTTCCTCTTCTTTCTGATGATACACATTCAGTCAGAAACACGATAGAGGGAACTGCACCATATATGTTAGTATAGTCCAAACTATCTAATTCCAGCATACAAGAGATAATGCTGGTATTTTTTATTTTCTCACTGAAACCAATAAATACAATAAAAATCCAAGTAGTCTCTCCTCTGATTTGCAAACTGTAACATGCATGACATTAGCAGTGTTTCATCAAAACATGGACACAGATAAAAAGGCCCTTTGATTCAGGGGTAAATACAATAATATATTGCCAATAAGTTCTAGCAGCCTCATATAATGTGGTAGGGTAAGAAATTTTTTTTCTGCTCACTATTTCTTTTCATTGGAAGCAGACATTCTGGATCGTATCTGGAGCGTATATTTGGCAAGGAATACAGCAAACTGTTAGTTTGGATCCAGCTGTGAGCAAATTTGGAACATAAAATCAGAAGACAAAAAATGCTAGAAGATGTAGAAAACCTCAAGATGTCACCTGTCCTTCTCTATGCACGAAATAGGAACAGCCTATGCCTAGGTTTGTTATTTCTGACAAATCACCCTTGGCATGAAGTTTCAGCTAATACCACTGTAAGCATTTGGTTGACTAAGGAACTTGACTAAGCCATTTGTTTTTCTAATGTGAAAAAAGAAAAAAAAAAAAAAAAGTCACTTTTTTCATAGGCTGTAGAACTGATTAGTTTTTTCAAGTTTAAAATTTTGGCAAGAAAATTAAATTTTCACATCTATCTCTTTCTAATTTGTTCTGAAGAGGATAGTAGGATGAGCTGTCAACACCTTTATACTTATCTGCTTCAATATATTAAGCAAATTAGTTACTCACTTTTTGCAATAAGCAGCGGTGATATTGAAGATCAGTAAACAAATTAACAATAAGACAGCAGCAGAAGTTCCTCCAGCTATGTATATAATAAAGCATTTGCGATCCCAAGATTCTAAAATAAAAGTGTAATAAGTATGTTTAGTATTTTATATGAACCAGCATGAACTATTTATGACAAACTAAGTTGAAAATCAATAAATAACTGTGTAGAGACATTATTCCATGACAGCTCCTGCTCAATATTCAGACCTCATTTCTCAAAAGCCTTTGTTATGCTGAACTAGCTGTTATGAAAGTTGTGACTGGGATGACCAAAGGCTGGTGAACAGAGCACAGTGGTATGAAAAAATCAGTGATGCCTTGTATAATCGTTTCCTATCTCCGTCCCTCCTCTGGTGAGAAAGTGACTTGAGATATGGATAATAAAAGCACTCAGACTACTTAAGTGAATGTTCTTGGCATTGTAAAGGCTGTCCCATAAGAGATACCTAACATTCATGTGATACTTCCATGGGCAACAAGATATTTTTCAGAGTACCGGAAAGATCTTCTCAGTCCTCAAGAGGTTTTCTATTCAGTACTGCACACAGTTGTACCAGTTGTTTTCTACTTTAATTCAACAAGAAATCTTTTCACTTTTAAACAAAAATATTTCCACAAAAATTTCTCCCATTGTGATTGCTTTGTTTTCAATAACCTAGTACTGTGCATGCTCTGATGATAGATGTCAGGAAACCCATCCAAACCTGCTTGTTCTAGCCTAAACAAAAATGCTTTGAGAATTACAGCCAAGGCAGGAAAAGTTACATTTATAATATCTTTGCTTAAAATGCATTGACTTCTTCAGTATGGAGTCTCATCTTCAAAAGAAGCTAAGGAGCAACATATTATAACTAAAGGGTAGAGACAGGCAAGGCAACAGCTTCAAGGGATAAGTCAATATAGTCTTACGGTGCTCAAGTTTGTGGAGAGGTAATGTGATATTATTCTGATTTTTGAGGTGAAAAAAGGTAGAGGAAAGAACAGAGGTAATATATTCAAAGTCACACAAGAAGCCCACAACACAAGTCCTCAGTACAGTTATCATGCATTTAAAACATTTATGAATCTTTATCTTGTCACAGTTCTGAACACGGTTAGTAGTAGCATTAAAAAAAAAAAGTCTGTTAAACCACAGAATTTCGAGTCAGCTTTTTGCAGCCCACCACAGTGCCCCGCTTCCTGCTTCTCTGCTGCATCTCTGCACTAGCGCTCTGCAGACTTGAAACTAATAGCATAAAAAGCAAACACACACAAATAATATGTAATAAACATGTCCGTACGTAGTGTATTTGTGGCTAGCAGTATCAGCTGCTACAGGAAATATCTTAGCCAGATGATCTTATCAACTTCTAGCAGTCTCAAATGACCCTATGTGTTGGCAATGCCTTGATGAAGGAAGCATTGGGTGTGACTCTGCCCAGTTATCTACCAAAGAAGAAATATTTCCTGCATGTTCTTCACTTTATCAACATGTACAAGTAAAACAAAACAAGAAGTACAAAAAAGTGAGGATGCACTGGGATGGAAAAGGAATAACGTCTCTTGTGTTACTTACTACAAGAGATTGTGGTCATATCTTATGGCCATGAACTTGTTTGTTGTGTTTCAGATAAACACTAGCAACTCATTGGTGAACAGAAACTAAAAAACTGTCTTTAGGTTAGTCCCTCTTTAATGTTCTACTCACGGTACGGAGAAAGATAGCATCTGAAGATGAAACCAGAGCTGCTCCAAAGAGCTTTCATTCTGGGTAAACAAGAAAGTTACCTGCTCAGTTCATAGGCAACAGAAAACAATCATTATCACTAACAACAGTAATCCCAGCTGATCAGCTGCTGAGCCATCACCAGATGGCTTTTCTCTCCTGGATCAAAAAGCTTCACAGCTTCTTATCTGGCTGTCCTGAGTATCAGTTGAGACTTTCTCAGGTACACCTCTTCAGTATTAATATGCTCATTGGAAAGGATAACAAAAAATACTGATTACAGAAGAGTCTCTTCCTTGAATTCCAATGTTATTTTACTGGAAGAAAAAAAGCAAGAAAATTCTCTGAGAAGTTTATGCCACTGAAGGTAGCGTAATAACAAAAACTGATGTCTTTTGTACTACAACTGCATATGAAATCATTCCACTTCCAGCATGTTTTCAACTGCTGTGTACTTAAAAGGACAGGATGGTGCATATAGCTGTGTCCAAATTTAGGGAAAATCATAATGTCTTTTTTTCCAAGTGTTTAGCTACCCACCACAGAAAAGCATTATCTGTGCCAGTAAGCACGTAGAGAAATAAGGAGAAAACATCCTGTAAGCAAATAAAGAAAAAATTTAAAAATCTTGTATTTAATTATCATCAGTGATGGGTGAATGTGGATAGAGCTCAGCAACATCCTCACCCTTCAATCTAAGCACTCCAGATCTTTTTCTTTTCCTGAAGTTTCACCTTCAATTTTATCAGGTTAAGATAATAATCTCTGAGTTAATGAGTTTGAGAGCTGAGATTATCAGCTGTCAGTTAAATTTGGATGAGAAAAATCATTAGATTTTTTTAGAACCAACAACAACTCAAAGTCCTTTTGCCTTTTCTTATTTGAACTGAGCAAAGCCTTGCTGAGGCATTTGTTTTCTTTAACTATACAAAACCCTTTGTAATTACTGACTTTAACATAACATTCAAGATTTTGCAGAAACATGTCAGAGGCTTGCATGCGTCTCTTTAGTTCTTGTGTTCTCATCAAAGGTGATATGCTGATGGGAGGCTATTAAGTGTATTTTCAGTACAATTTCTGTTCAGTATTAGCGTATCACTCTCTCCCTCATCTTCGTAGCCTTGGCATTTTCTCTGCAAGATTGTGAAATTCTTTTGCAAAAAGGTTTTTGACCTTCACTGCATTGCCTTTGATTTTGAGGAGGAAGCACTGATGGCCCAGACAGTTATTTGTTTTAACAAGAGATTTGAACTGTACTCTAAAGATCTTCATGTAGCTTGTCACATGCCTTGCCGGACTGGCACATATGGTATGCTACCTAGACATCACTGAAATAGTTTTGCCTACAACTGAAAGGCAGAAATCCAGCATGAATGCATTCATGCCCAGAGAAATGTGCTTTGTTGAATAGAGACCCACAGACATGGACTGATGTCTTGTGTTCATACTGGAAGAGTTCATGAAGGGAGAAGGGAAGCTAATTTCACTCCTACCCTGATTCTCCTCACCCCTGACTACAGCCTTATCCTCTGTTTCTATGGCACAGAAGTACTGCTGTCTCGTCCCAGCTCAGAAGGACTGTATGGTTACCCCCAATGACTGGACAAGTATTCCCTTGCTTTTCATCTGGGTGCTTTGAAGATCATACTGGGTGCTATTGAAAGACATTTAAAGGACAATTTAAATGCCCAGTCAACATGGATTCACAATGGGAAAATCCTATCTAACTAATTTGATATCCTTCTATGATAAGTTCACCCACCTAGTGGATGAAGGGAACAAATGCCGGATCCTGCACCTAGGATGGAGTAGAGCCAGGCACAAGTACAAATTGGGAGAGGAGTGGCTGGATAGCAGCCCTGCAGAAAGGGATCTGGGGGTGCTTGTCAACTGCAGCTCAACAGGAGCCGGCAGCGTGCCCTGGCAGCCCAGAGGGCAAACCGCATCCTGGGGTCCATGAAGCACAGCGTAACCAGCTGGTCAGAAAAGGGGATTATCCTGCTGTATTCAGCGTTGGTGTGGCCTCACCTTGAGTGCTGTGTGCAGTTCTGGGCCTCACAATATAAGAAGAATATTAAGGTACTTGAAGGTACAAAGATGGTGAAAGGGGCTAGTAGAAACCATAATGTAATTCTGACCCCTAAATGTACATTTAAATACAACCATCAACCAGTTTTTCAGATCTAGTGGGAACACACAGCAACACAAAATGTTTCTATTTTCCTTTGTCTAAGAGAGCTTGCTATCCCACTTTCTGCTGAAGCAAGAAAAAAACTTACAAAATTGTTCTAAAAATGGCTAGGTCTTCAAGATGGTATAAGCATTTCTTTTTCAGCCCTTCTAATTTTTCAGTTCTTTCATATGACATCTCCCCTTCTTTCCCAATCACCTACCAAAATAATGCATGGATTTTAAGTCTGCTTCCTTCATTCAAAAACATGCTAAAAATGAAATCAAATCAATTGAAAAAGCATGGTAAGTAAAAATCAGAAATGGATTCAGATGTGAAATCTGGTGACATGACCAATCTCCCTGTTAATAGAATTTTTAGAAGGAGAAATAAGTTGAAGAACACATTAGAAATTAATCCAAAGAATTAATTCAGAGTCTCTTGCACACATTCTATAATTATGTAATATTCAGCCTCCTGTTTCTGTCAGTGTCGTCCAACAAAAGCTACACTACTTTACATACACATGTTGCCATGTGTTCCAGGTTTTGAGGTCGAAAAAGATTTGCAGAAGACTCATTTCAGCTGGAAATTACTGTTACTGAAAAACAACAATCACAATATTTAGTGGGATGGAATAGATAAACTTAATGATATTGATTGGATTTCATGGTTTTATTTGGACTGTTGTTTGAAGACATTAAATGCAGCATGCCAGCTTCTACTAATACAACTGCAAGAATATCACAGGTTTTCCCAACACTTGAATACCTATTCCTCTCCCTCTCTCTTTTTCTTCATAGGAATTCCATGTTATTTCTCCTTGCAAAAATACACTCACCTTTAGAATGTATCTTAAAGCAAGCAATTTGCTTTAAAATATAGTCTAAGCAGTGTTGCTTCTTTCTACTGTACCACCTCTTTGAATCAGCAGATTTGGAACTATTATCAGTTCTGCAAATAATTCTGTGCTCTTATTTCTACCTCCTTTCACCCAAGTTTCCTCCTCTTTAAAAATTCTTGGCATCTTCTCAAGGACAACTTCTCAAAAAAAAAAAAAGTTTCTTATTTTTCCTCTTACTCTCTCTTAACATAAACAGAGTTTTACCTACAACTGTTTACAGCACAGCTATTCTCCCAGCTCCTAACTTCAGTATTTCAAAACATCTCTGGAACTGGGCAAGGCGAGATTTGCAGCACCCTTGCAGAATCACACCAACAGACTAAAAACATTGGAAGAGTTTGGTAGAAAATCCAAGCTAGAGCGTGATTTAGCTGTAATGCTAAGCCAAAGAAAATGAAGTGACTGAACTGATAGAACACACACAAAAAAATAGCATAGCGCTTTTCTGTCACCACTTGGTTTATTCAAGCCACAGCTGTTGCATCGAGTAAGTCACTTGTGAGTTTGCGAGAGACTTCACCGGGTATACCACAGCGTGTGGAGGGAGCTGGCGCCTGGCCTGTCACTCCTTTCCCCTTAATGTTTCTCCATACCTCACTGGAAATATTAACTGCATGTTTTGAAACAGTTCCAAACGTCCAAAGAGAAATAGTTGGAAATCCTTGGCATTTAATTTCCTTTGATATTAATGAAAATTCAACAAAATGCGCTTCATATTATAGAGTGAGGGCCTAAAAGGGAGACAACGGGGTGTTTTCTGAACCATACAGTACTTCAGCTTCTTCAATGGTTTCAGACCTTTTTTCTACAATAAACAGGCATAACTATGCTGGCATTATTAGAAGTAAAAATGATGAACAGGATTTGTTTCAAGAGCAAAAGAAGCATGGAAACTAAACTCTTTTTTTGGAGAAGAAAGAGTTTGTGTACGTAGGGCTGACAACTCTTAATGCATTTTTTTGCAACTCATTATATGCTTTCATTTCAGTATGAGAAGCACTGCACTTGGAGTAAACAAAACTATTTCTATTGCTCTACAATTTCAGTATGCTTGATTATATGAATACAGTTAACAATTTGAAATTTGAATGTTTCAAATTATCAGAGGTGAGAGGAATTTTTCTTCTGGTACTCCTTTTCATCACATTCTGCTCAATTTCATGGACTTTTATGGTCAAGTATTCAGAGTAAAGAAGGTCAGCTTTTTTTTTTTGCCCAAGCACATTCTCCACTTCTTAATATCACAGATCACACATATTCTGAAGTTTCATACCCCATGCCACAGCTCTTAGTACTGTCAGAGAGGTCTGCTAACATTTATTACCAAGAACAAAAGCAGTACCCTCAAAAGATACCAGAGAGCTGGACTGAATGCTGCAACAGGACAAGAACGACTAGGGTGGTACAAGAACTGCATCTTCAAAATGCATGCTATAAAGAAGAACCAAAACTGAGGAGGGGCAGTTCTGCCATAACAGAAAACAGAAGTAAAGGCGGGATCCAGCTCACAGTTTGAGAAAAGTTGTTTTAAGTGTCTACGGATGTAGACATAAGTTCCCACTATTATCAAACTGACAACAGTCACAAGCAAAACCTAAAGACCTTCTCAGCTCCCCCTAAAGAAACTCCTTACTTGAATAAGGTAGAGGCCATTTTACAATTTTTTACATTTTCAAATGAGAGTGTGCTCTTTGCCTTTCTTGGAGGGTAGGTCTGGACCCTGCTGTGTACTGTGCTAATGGGGAATTCTCCTCGTGGCTTCGCTGGGAAAATGCCCACCTCTCCCCTCAAACTCAGGCAGTCTCTCCTCTTCCAAAGCGTCTCCTTCCTAACATCAAGCCAGTTTCTCACAAACAGGTCTAAAGTCCTATAACGAGATCAGACAAGCTTAAAACCAGATTCTTTCTGTGGGAACAAGATTAATTGTCAACTTTACTTTTACACGCTGCTAATTGGAATGTGGTATTGAAATAAAACCTCACTTGTTATTGAAGAGTTATTTTATATGGGTACAAGTGTTAATACCTCAGAAGATCCTATTGTAAAAAACATTTACCACTTCCTTTTTTACTTACCAGCCACAGTAAAACTCATCACATAGGTTTTGTTTCTTCCAGTAGCTACGCAGCGGTACGTTGCAAAGTCAGAGACGGTAATGTTTTGAATGACAATCATGGAGTTTGCCTGATCAGAGCAATCCACCAGTGTACGGTCTTTGAAATCCGAACCAAAGCTGGGCTTTCCTGACGAGTTGCACAGAACAATGGTATCTACCTGATCTGCTTTAATCCTTTCCCACATCACTTGCTGCACTGAATTTCCAATTTTATAAGGACAAGTAAAAGTGACATTTCCTCCTGGCTTGGTAAACATGTGATTGTTTTGTTTCTCAGATACTTCAAAAGCATCTGTGGAAAAACACACACACAAAAAAAAAGGTTATAATTGATTCAAGGCAAGTTTAGTATCAACAATTCTTGTATGGCAAATATTAATGAAATTGACTTACAACAGGAAGATACTCAAATAATTTGAAATATTAAAGAATATCATTTATACCTACCTATGACTATACTTTTGTGCACATTTAGACAAAACAGTCTTATAGAACTGTGAGGCTGTGATGACATTGCAAGAAGGCTATTTCTATACATTTTGAGTACGTGAATGTTTTATTAACAGTTTCAGCAAATATTCAACAGCATAAATTATGGGGCCAGTCTAATTAAATTTTTGATAGTCTTGTTCTGCTTTCACACTAATTATAATAAGAAAATGGTTTGATGTGACCCTCAGGACATGCATTAGTAAATTATGTTAAAAGAGATTCCAACCTATGAACTACAATTCTCCTATTCACAAACCTCACCACTGAAATGAAAAAAATCTTGTCCATTCATATACTCTACTGGGAAAAACCTGTGGGATAAGTCACGCTGTGGTATGAAAGGACACTTCTAGACAAATTCAAGACTTCCACTGCCTATAAGCCATAGATATATCTTAAATAATCTTGACTGAAATCCCTCTGCTCTAACTTATTGTTTTTAGTAATAAAATTCACTATTTATAAATTAAGAAAAAAAAATTAAAATCTTCAATAGAAAGATTGTCAATGTTTCTGATATTCAGAGCATTCAACAGCCACTTGGTTTCTAAAGTCAACTTTGTAATTGTCCTGGTTTCGGTTGAGATAGATAGAGTTAATTTTCTTTCTAGTAACAGGTATAGTGCTGTGGTTTGCATTTAGTATGAGAATGATGTTGATAACACACTGGTGTTTTAGTTGTTGCTAGGTTGTTGCAGTGCCTACTACAGTCAAAGACTTTTCAGCTTCTCACGCCCTGCCAGGTGCAGAAGAAGCTGGGAGAGCACAGCCAGGACAGCTGGCCCAGGCTGGCCAAAGGGACATTCCCTGCCACAGAACATCGTGCTCCCTATATACCTGGGGAAGCTAGCTGGGAGGTGGGATGGCTGCTTGGAAACAGGCTGGTCATCGGGGGGGGGGTTCCACACGGGGTGGGCCATCGCATTTTTTTTTTTATTATTACTATTAGTATTATTATTGTTGTTGCTGTCGTTACTACTACTACTACTATCATCTTCCTTTTTTATCCTATTGAACTGTCTTTAGCTCAACCCAGAAGTTTTTTTTCCGTTCTTCTTCCCATCCCCTTGGGTAGGCAGAGGGGTGAGCAAGTGGCTGCATGGTGCTCAGTTACCACCTGGGGTTAAACCACGACAGCAATGCCTGTATCTCATAAGTTAGAACTAGCACTGTCATGTTTTGAAGACTTTGATGCTGAAAAAGATTAATGATCAGGCTTTTCCTACACTGTAAAAGGGCTGATCTTTCAGTCTCTTCAATGAGTTTCTTTTTTTATTAGATGTCTTTAAGTCAAAAAATGTCACTACTATATATTTTTAATGTGTTTGCCTCTATCTATGGCAGCAACTGGAAGCAGAGACAGAAAATTAAAATTGCATAGGAAAAATTACAGTCATTAAATGCATCAAAACCTCAATCTGTTTATAAAAAAAAGTTCTGAAATGAGGCTGCACCGAGATTCATGGGATGGTATGGTTACAGTAGCTATCTGGGTGGAACTGAATACCTTATAGGACTGAGCGAGATATAGATCTTCCTTGATAGAACATTTTTACCAAAAATCTAAGGAAGAAAATGCTGGTAAACTGTATTGCTTTGGATACTGGTAATGCTAGGGTTGTCAAAATCATAGGTACTGGAGAAATCAGCAATATGGCGTGGCCTAGCTCACCCCCTAAGCTGGGTGCAAAGAGTAGTAGGATTTAATGTGGGCAAGCATACTACCCTAAACCTAGGAATAAGTGATTCCATTCATGTTGACAGGACGGAGACTTCATTGTGGAAGTCTGAGTTCTGAGACTTGCGCAGTCTCTGTGAAATGGTGAATGAAAAAATCTAACCTGCAATTTTTTATCAACAGAACACAGCACAGAAAACTTACATTCCCTCTGCCTTTGGAGACCAGAAGTATGATTAAAACATTGAAATGCTGAAAGACAAAAGGAACTGTGTCTAATGAGTTTACCTAAAAAAAAATTAATGAAGAACTTGAAGATCTATGTAGACTGTAATCAAGGAGACAGAATGTTAATGATAGACAAGGACAGAAGAGAGATAAATTCACTAAACTAAACAGAAGGTACAACACAGTGATGTTAATTAACTCTTTGGACAGCTTGCCAAAGGCTGCTAAATTTCTATTACTGACGACGACTGCCAAGGCTAGATAATAATTTAAGATATCATGCTAGTTCCAGCAAGAATTTACTCATGGAAGTCTAAGTGTTATTCAAATACAACTATTATGATGGGAGTCTACACTTGCAAAATATGTTCCTTGAAGTGCAGTCCCTCAAAAGTCACTAGACTAGAAAAGGTATTTTTTAATATATATCTAGCAGATTCAGATCTGCAGATTCAAATCTGCCAGAGAAGAGGGGTAAATGAAAAGATAATTGAAACCAATTCTCCCTCTTGCCCATCATATTCTTGCATGTCAGATCCTTGCCTCCTGTTCCACTTTCCAGACCACTAACTTCCAGCAACAGCCTGCTTTACAATAAACGACATATTTTTCCCTGAGAAATCTTGTCTTCACTGTGCAGCCTTTGCTGTTTTCTGCTATGAGCAAGTCTTACTGCTACCACACTCTCCTTAGGAGCCTTGAAGTCTCCTCATCTACTCCTGGGTCCATCCTTGCTGTCCTATTCATTTCATGCCAATGCTACCCAGAACTCCAGGTGTTTCTCCTATCTAAACATGCTTATTAGGGAAATTATGTTGTTGATGATGATGATACCTGCCACCTTTCACAGGATTCCCACCTGACCCAAAGGGCAGCAACCAGGACTGTATAAAAAAACCAGCCTTCTTCCCTGCTGCCATGCCATACATTTGCTAGAAAAGTATACATTATACCTAGGTGAACTGTGAACATGATAAACATTTTCCACCAAAATCATGAAAATCCTTTCTGTCTTAAAACTTATTAGTTAACATTGTATGTTGTATTTGCCAAACAATGTATCACAGTTTCCCAATAATATATAATATTACAACATACTATAGCGTACTGTTGCAGGTAAGTTACAAAGCTAAGGTTGCCTTGCAAGTTCAGTGAAGAATTTCCAGGTACAAATATTGATATATTTGTATAATTTGCTGGTATACAAATAATAAATAATATGCTAATAGTGAGAACTACGTACAAACAGCCAAATTAAAATAGAAAAAGTTTTGAGATTCTCAGCCACTGTACATTCTATTATAGCCATTTTCAAACACAGACATCATGCCACATTTTATTTTTTTTCATTGCATGTGTATTTTACTTGACAGTATGTAGCAACATTCAGGTATTTCACTCTTGATGGCAGATGTAAATCCCTCCCCTTCTTACAATATGATACCTTGCACAGCTTAGATGATTATGTAAGGCACAAGCAGTGGAGAATCAGGCCTACATAGTTCTAATTAAATCTTCCAAGTACACTAAAGTATTCCAGGCTTTTGTTTTAAGCAATTGTCCCATTTTATTTTGACACCGGCATCAGCATATTTCTTTCATGCTCCCTCTCCTCTGTGCAATCACTTTCCTTATTTAGCACCTTTTTGAACAGAGCTTCTTTGCTTTCAGCCTGGCACGCATAGGATGAGAACCTCCCATTCTGAGAAATACTTCTACGGGGACAAAAGCACACCCACATACCTTCACCCCCACACACGCACAACTCAAGATGACACACCATGTGTGAGCATTCCAGAAATAAAAAAAAAAAAGGTATCGTTGCATCTGATAAAAATAGACTTTGCCCTGCCTGCTGCTCGTTCCGGCCACTGGCACTGCTGCCTGCTCTGCCCCCTGCCATGGCCACGGCATCTCGCCTCCTGGGCAGAAAGTAGGAGGAGGTGACAGCCCTCACGGTGGGTGCATTTGTTTCTGCTCAGTAAAGAAGTGCTCTGTGTTTGATATTCTCCCGGCATCTCTTTTGGCATAGTGTTATCTCATCACATTTTGCAATTATATTTTTTTCTAACTCTTTTAGGGCCACAAAGGAGAAAAAATGCAAGCTTTCCTATTTTTAAAAACATAAACTTTCAATATTTTTTTTGGAAAGCAAATATAAGAAATAGAGCTATAAAAGAGTATAAACCAACTTCCCAGGATTTAAAGGATCAAGCAACTAAAATGAAGTTCTGCAGCAAGGAAATTGTTGAAATTAAGACATTCCTTTTGGAGGGAAAATAAAATAACAGTGTCATCTTCCCACCACCACCATCGCACCCCCTTTGCTACAAGCAAGTGAAAGTCGACATCAATGTTATGTAAAAGTTTGGTCCCTATTCTTTTGGATAGAGACTTTCTACTTTTTGGTTCCTGTCCTTTACACTTTTTTTTATTTTGTTTTATCCTTTGAGTCTCCAATAGGATTAACTGGTTTTGTTTCTTCAAAAGAAATTCACTTAGATACCTGGACTTGTTTTCACCTAATTTATTCATTTTTATAGTCAGTTACTATGACATTTTAATTACTGTTCACTACAAGTTTCATCAATCCCAGATTTATAATCTTATACAAGGTGCAGTGTTTCACTCTGAACTACATATAAATCCCATGTGTTCCTCCTGGTTTAAAACAATATTCAAAGGAAACAATATTCGTACTTTAAAATCAGTTCTGCAACTTCAGAAAGCCAAAATTCAGCACAGTAAAATAAAATGCATTGAAATATTCCTCTGGCTTTCCATGTTTCTGCGTCTCTGTTGAGGTTTAAAGCTTAGCAGAGGTTAAGTACTACCAGAGCTGGTTTTATACAAAGAGAGTTACATCAGCTGCTGCAGGCAAGTACGTACGCTGT